CACACATTAGGTGGCTTAAAATAACATGGTCACACCTTCCAACTCGTGCCAATCTCTCTGCTGCTTGGATGTCTGCTGTGCCAAGAGAAGCAAAGGGCTGGAAACACCCTGGCTTATATGAAGTCATTCAAGGTGATGTAACTTTCTGTAAAACTTTCCCCAGTTTCTCTTTGTTGCTCCTGTATCTGTTCAGTTACTCAGTGGGATGAAATGGAACTATTGCTTTTAAGTGACCTGTCTATACTGCTTGATGAATTAAATCACTTTAATTGCATGTTATTAGGGGTGGTTATTAACTGAAACATTGGTGGTTGGAGCCTGTTGACTACTCTGCAGGAGAAAGATGTGGCTGTCTGCTTCCTTAAAGAATCGCAGCCTGGAAGCCCTAAGCGGCAGTTCTACCCATTTCTGTAGTGTGACACTGAGTCAGAATTGACTCAGTGCCAATGGGTTTGATTTTGGGTTTTCAGGTTTCCTTTTCCACTATGAATGTGTATGAAGGAAATTGGCCTACAACAATTGCCCAGGCCATGGTGTGTCTCATTTGGAGAAGGTCTTGGCATACAGTCGTTCCTTCTGATGGAGCAAATAAGTTTAGGCTGGGGTCTGGTTCCTGAGTTTCCCCTACAACATTTGGAATTGCTTTACTCAGTGGCATCGCTCCGGTCCCCCTGGACTCCTTGAGTTCTTCCATGAGGAGGTAAGGACCCTGGTCATGATACCTGTGTCTCCCCTCACTCCTTACCTGGGTAGGTACCCATTCCTTAGGCCTGTGATGTGTACTTCAACAGTCAAGAATCCAGTATCTTCAGTGCGAATGCTGGGTAACACGGCATCGGAAATGAGCCTTGGGCTTGGCCTCGTCTCTGATCTCTGATTTGCCAGTGCCCACGCAGGTGTGGACACCTGGCTTTGCCCCCAGAAGGAACTCCCTGCACCACTCATTGGGGTCAGAACGCTGAGCCGTGCATAAGGGCAGGACCCTGGGCCATGCATAGGGGCAGGACCCTGGGCCATGCATAGGGGTCAGAATCCTGGACCATGCATTGGCGTTGGGACCCTGCACCATGCATTAGGGGCAGAACCCTGGGCCATGCATAGGGACAAGACCGTGGGCTGTGCATTGGGGTCATCTTCCTGAGTGGACCATGTTCTTGCTTATCCTTGTATGATTTACATGTGGTTGCCATTTCACAGTGGTTATGAGGTTTGAATTGAGATTACAGTGCCTGGCATACTGCCAAGGTAAGAAGTTACAAAGTAGCTGAAGTCACTAATAAACACAAGCAAGCTAGATTTGATCTGGTCTCATGGAGACCCTGTGTATGTCAGAGTAAAACTGTACTCCATTGGGGTTTCAGTGGCTGACTTTTTGGAAGTAGATAACCAGACTTTTCTTCCCTGGCACCTCTGGGTGTGTTGGAACCGCTGGTCTCTGGGTCTTTTGGCTAATAGCCAGTCATTAAATGTTTTGCACCAGCCACAGCCTCCTGAAGTCACTCATGGGTAAAGCCTTATCCTGCCTAACTCCATAATTGCTCTTGCGCCATCCACGTGCTTTGGTGTACCTGACCTCACTGGAGCAGGCCAGGGAGGTTTCATCTGCAGGCACCGCCACGGGCTGCTCCTGAGAGAATGCAGGGTGATCATATGGCAATTGAGCTGCCTCTCCAGTCCCTAATGATGCCCCTGAAGTCTTTGAGAAGGACTGATCAATAGCTCACTAACCATCTCTTTGGTTGGAGCTGTTAAAAACAAAACAGAGGAGAATAGATATTTAATGTAACTGCCAGATACTCCACATGGAAGAAATTTGTATTGATTGAGAATCCAAAGACCAAAAACAACTCTGGATTGGGAAGATTAGGTATTGGACTCACCTAATTTGAAAAATTAAACCCAAAAGAGTTGCATTAGTCTCATGAAATCTGTAAACATTTTTATTTTTGTCAGTTTTGATCCTGTAATAACCTTCTATATTCAATTAGAGAAGGCCATTGTACAAAAATAATCTAAATGTTATTGGAGCCCAATCGTTATTTTTTTGTTTTGTTTTTCCCTTTTAGTAGCCAGTGTACCAAATATATTCATAGTCATTTTACTTTTAAAGAGCGGTAGATTTGTGATCAACTTCTTATGCCTCTGCTGCATCCCATAGATTTTGGTGTGGTGGTGGTGGTCATGTGCCGTGGAGTCGGTTCTGACTCACAGCGACCCTGCACAGGGTTTCTGAGGCTGTAAATCTTTACAGGAGCAGAAAGTCTCATCTTTCTCCCCCGGAACAGCTGGTAGTTTAAACTGCTGACCTTGAGGTTAGCAGCCTGATGTGCTCAGTACTGTTTTATAATCTAGCTGTATGGGGACGTGACAGATGCTGTTGTACATGTGGCGAATGTTGAAAGTGTGGCAGAGCCATGTGCTTGGCTGTGTGACTTTTCTGAAAAGTACCTGTACCCACAGGACTGAGGGATGTGGGTGTTTTCTTAATTGAGTTGACAGGGACCTACACCCATGCTCCACCACACATGTGGTAATTGCCTAGCTTGTGAGCTAAACTTCAGCTCCGGAGAAGGATCAGACAGAGCCCTGCTGAAGTGGATGGTTTGAGGACCAATGGCCTCAGCTATGATGACAACTTTGGGAAGAGACATTAATTCTAAACTGGAGTTTCCCTGTGTGGCTGTGAAAGCTGTACTAGGGTGGAATGGAATGGGTCAGACCCAGTCAGGAGTGGAACTTGGAAGAAGCAAGCTCCGCCTTCATTTCTGTATTTGCACATGAGCTGGGCAGGGATTCAGAACAGTCATTCCCAAACTTTACAGAACTATTTGTTTCAAAGATGCCAGCAGTCCTGTAGCACATGTGGGGATTTGTCTTTGTTCCGGCTGTGACGCTGCCAGCCTTGCCTACAACTGCTGGAACCCCTGCTGCCTCTTGGCTCCCAGTACATCCGGTCCTTTCCCTGCCTAGGTGCTGTTCACCTATCCAGCAGGTGGGACTCTGATACTTTTCCAGGAGTGATTGGCTCCTCCTTTGGGACACTGCCTGTCTGTGATCACAGGGTGCAGCTGGAAAGGTCCATCCATGAGGAACTGGCCTCAGCTCAGCCTGGTCTGTAGAGACACCCAGACCCAGGGGCCCCATTCTTCTTCACTCCGCCTACTCTCATCTCCCACCCAGAGAGTCCTGGATGTCTGTTTGTCTGCGGCCCAAGGAGAGCAACACTCACTTATTTTTACTCCTACTGCCTTTGTTTTATGAGTTCCCAGGGGGCACAAATGCACAACTGCTGCCCTACAAGGTTGTAATCAAAACCACCCATAGGCATCTGCTCTGGAAGACAAGCCTGTTGATGTGCTTCCAAAAGGTTCCAGTCTTGAAAACTCCGTGGAGCACAGTTCAGCTCTGCACGCACGGGGGCGCCACGAGTCAGAGTTAACCCGACAACTACTAACAACAACCATCTTTGGTCTCGGAGACCCTGGGAAGCACAAGCAGATAAGCAGATAAGTGCTTGGATACTAACCAACAGGTTGGAGGTTTGAGCCCACCCAGAGTCGCCTTGGGAGACAGACCTGGCGATCTGCTTCAGAAAAATAGCCACTGAAAACCTCGAGGCATTTCTACCCCAACACATGTGACTTGGTCCAAGGCAGGCCTGGCTGCCACTTCCCTTTGTCAGGCAGAAGGCTGGGCAGAAGGCTTGGGCAGAACTGCTCAGTCTGCGTGCTGGTTAGTGCTCTTTGGGGTGGAGATTGCGCCTCCCGGCCCCCGACCTGACTGGTGTGGCATGAATCCTGGTCTTAGGCAGAAAATTTACCTTCCCCGGTGATGCTCCTACTCTCCATTTTCCTGAGGAGCCTGCCCAGCGGTCAGGCAGGCCCAGATCCAGACAGCTCATCCCTGAAATCTCCTTGAATGGACTGTGACAGGAAATCACAAACCTCATCGCCAAGCTGGTTGGGAATTTCAGTGCCCGACTTGCTTCTCTTTAAATACATGGACAAAAGTGATCACTTTAAAATGCTGTGCTGAGTCGAGCCCTGACACCTTATTTGTAAAAACGCCTGACTATGAACGTGGCACACGTATCCTGCGGGTTTTTTGTATGTCCTCGTTCCTTTTTATTTGGCCTTAGCGGTAGAGAAGGTGAGAAGTGGGATGCCAGATGAAATTTCAGCTGATCGATTGCACAATTACATACGAAGTCACGTGTAGAAAATGCCCCACTTTCAACAAGAAACTGTGTGCTCACAGCCTGAAATTGAATATCCCCGCATAGTCTTCATTTCCTTACAGAGTTTCTAATCACTAACACAAAGTGCTGCTCCTAGTATTTTCCTAATGGATTAAGTACAGACTGTGTACCAGCCAGCAGGAAGATCCCTGTGGGAGCAGGGGAACCATAAAAGTGGCCTTGCTCTCGAAGCACCCGTGAGCATCCTTCACAGGGATTGCAGCTGGAGTCTCAGAAGGAGATACGTCTGCATGGGAAGGGGGTCCTGGTATAGGTGGGCTCTGCGATGGGTGCTCTGCCCTCCTGCCATGGTTCCTTCTTTTGTCAAGTGGAACTGATGAAAACCAAATTCATTGCCATTGTGTTGATTTTGACGCCTCCCAAATAAATCTGTGCTCCTGAGGGTTTTCTTGGCTGGTTTCAAACCTCCAACCTGGAGGTTAGTGGTGGGTTGGTGGTTGTGTACTATTGAGTCAGTTCTGTCTCATAGCAACCCTGTCTTCATAGGGTTTCCTAGGCTATAAATCTTTGTGGAGCAGAAAGCCTCATCTTGCTCCCGCAAAGCAGCTGGTTGGATTCGAACTGCTGGCCTTATGGTTAGCAGCCCAACACGTAACCAAGGCTCCTTTGAGGTTAGTAGTCAACTGCAAACCATCGGTGTTACTCACACTGAGCTCTCTAGGTAAATTTTGAGTCTGAAAGCAAGGTTGAGTCCCCATGGCTGTGGTGACTCATGCCCTGGTGTGCTGTGTTTCACTTCTAGGCAGCATCTGTCACTTCGCTGTCCAACTTGGCAGGAATGCACATGGTTCGCTGGGCCGTCTGGAGCCCCAGGCTGGACGCCACCTCTGGGCGGGTGACCTTAGCCCTGCAGGGCGGGACCCTTCCCGGCCCCTCACACTGTCTGGTCTACAAGGTGCCCTCAGCCAGCATGAGCTCAGAAGAGGTGAGTTGTATCATTTTAAGTGTGTTTCTTCCCCAGTGAGGCTAGAAGCTGACAAAAACGTTCACAGATGTTTCATGAAGAAGACATTTTCACGTCATGGGAGTGATTCCCTTGCAATGCTGAGCCTGGTGTTGCGCACCTGTCAGTGCAGAATCAGCGGGGCCACTTTTACCTCGGGCCTTGTAATCTCCTGCACACACTCACGGCACACACTCAGAAGCACTGCTGTGTGTGTCTTTACAAAGTATACTGGGAGCACTTGGCACGTGTGTTCGAGAATGGGGTCTGTGTGAACCTCTGCCGGTGGATTTTTTTGTGGAACGAGAACTGTGGGGAAGCTGGGTGGTCCTGCTTCTAGACTGGCTTGTCTTTGTGACTTTGTCCTTCATACCCACTGTTCACAGGCTGGGCCACAAGCTGGGAGTCTCCTGTTTTGTTTTGTTTTTTTCAATTTTTTTGAGGTGATTTTTATTTTAAAAAATTATTTTGCTCTTCGTTGTTGAGGATAAACATAAGAAAATACACACCAGTACAGTATTTTCTTCTATGCATACTATTCAGAGACTTTGATGCAAAGGTGCCGAAACTGCCGAACGCACCACCACTTGGAATGTGTGTCAGCTGCCATCTTTGAATGGGCCGACTTTGCCTTTTTCCTACTCAGGTCAGAATCCACTGTGCAAGAAACTTGGTTGCTATTCATAACATGTTGCTCATTTCCATCAGTCATGACTGAACTCTGTGCAACTAGCTCTTACCTCCTTTTCTGCATGATTCCATCCCCACTAACTCACTGCCCCCTAAATTCTCTCTCTAATCTTTCAAATTGGTTTTGTCAGTTGAATCCCATATCACTTTTAGAACAACACAATGCTTATGGCAGACATTCTGTATAAAACTGTTTTTTGAGCTGAAGCTGTCTCTAAACCCCAATGTAGGAATGCAAGTACATTATTCGCAGTTGTGAAAAGATGGAAACAATCCCAGTGTCCATCAGCGGATAAATGGATGAAGCAAAAAAACAAACAAACATATATATGGTAGATTATCACTCAGCTATAAGCCATAAAGAAGAGGAATGAAGTTCTGAATCATGCCACAGCATGGAAGAATCTAGAAGCCATGATGTTGAGTGAAGTTAGAAAAGGCGCTGTAGGATAAAAGGTCAGTTTGAACTGCAAGGTAGGTGGTTCAAACCCACCAGCCACTCATCAGAAACACTATACGCGGTCACTAAGAGTCGGAGCTGACTTGATGGCACTTAACAACAACAAACAAAATATATACAATTATATGTTGTAAAGTGCCATCAAGTTGCTTCCTACTCAGAGCAACCCTGTGTTGGGTTTCCCAGGCTGTAAATCTTTGCGGGAGCGGAAAACCTAATCTTTCTTATGTGGAATGACCGATGGGCTCAAATTGCCAACCTTGTGGTTCGCAGTCTAGTGTTTATTCTACAGAGCTACTGTACTCCATATGTATATGTGTATATACATATATATATATTATTAGTATCATTACGAGTCAGGCTGCTGACCTCAAGGTCAGCAGTTCGAAACTACCAGCCATTCTGCAGGAGAAAGATGAGGCTTTCTGCTTCCGTAAAGATTTGTAGCCTTGGAAATCCTATGCAGGGTTGCTATGAGTCAGAATTGACTGCAAGGCATATAACCACCTAGGACGGGTGTTCCCTTATGGAGTTCTGGTGTGGTGCTGTGGGCTAATGCACTGGACTGCAAAGTCAGTTTGAACTGCAAGGTTGGTGGTTCAAGCTCACTAGCCACTCCTATGCAGGGTAGCTATAGGTCAGAAACAATGCAACAGCACTTAATAACACTATAATATATATATATATATATGGTGGTGGTTATGTGCCATGGAGTTGGTTCTGACTCATAGCGACTCTGTATAGTGTTTCTGAGGCTGTAAATCTTTACAGGAGCAGAAAGCCTCATCTTTCTCCCGTGGAACAGCTGGTAGTTTCAAACTGCTGACCTTGGGGTTTGCAGCCTGATTCGTAACCACTACGCTACCAGAGCTCCATATATCTATATAGGTACAGATACACACACACATATGCATTTTGTTTCATGTTACTGGTTGTAATTTCCACAATGTAACATTACTAATCCCACCTCTTCCCTGTGATTCCTGATTCCATTCCTATTCTTTTCCTAACCCTTCTGGCCTTCTGAGCTTTGTTTTAGGGGAAATACTGCCTTTTTGATCTCAGATGCTTGATAATTCTAAGGAATGCATGCATCCCTAATGCTACTGTTCACCTTACAGGCCTGTCTGTGATCTGGCTGAAACTTGAGCCCTAGAGGTGAGTTCATCTCTAGGCCTGAAGGGTGACTGACTAAGGGCCGTTGTCTTGAGGGTTCCAGCAGTCTCTGTCAGACCAGTGAATCTCTTTTTTTTAAAAAATTATTTTGAGTTTTGTTCTACGGTTTTCTTTCACTCTATCCAGAACCTTCTAATGTGATAGCTTTCAGAGCAGTCAGTAGTGGTAGCTGGACACCATCTTCCGGTCTCAGGGGTTGGAATTGAGTCCACTGGAATAATTATTACCACAAGTCTTTAATTTTCTTCACTCTTCTTACCCTCAGACAGGGAGAAACCAGTCATTGTACCTTAGATGGCTGCTCTCAAGTTTTAAAGACCCTAGTCACTCTCACTAAAGTAGGATGGTAGAACATTATCTTTGTGTACTATGGTATGCCAATTTACCTTGGTGTCCCCTGAGACCACCATGGTCCTGATTCTTCAGGTCCAGTGACTCATTCATTTAAGAAGTTGGTTATGGCTAAGTTTTCATAACTTTGCCTCTTGTGTGCTCTACTGTATTCATGGATATATTTGCAGGATAGGTAAATACACAGGTAGACATATCATCTATAAAACCTATATATATATATATAGTTGTGGCTAGAATCCCATTCTTCTTCCCACACCTGTCCAGTTAGCATGTCCATCTGTTCTCCCATTTGTAGACTGCTGTAATTGCTGGATTGCTTATATGCTGCCTTTAACGCTTGTACTTCTTCTAGTGTTTTCCTTTGCCGCTACCATTTTTCACTAACCCTTCACGCGTGTTAATACGTGTCGAGTCTCTAATCTTGGTGCAGTGTTGTAGGATCAGCACTGGATTTCGAACCACAGGGCTGGCAGTTCAAACCCATCAGCTGCTCTTCAGGAACCCTCTACAGAGCCGCTATGAGTTAGAAGCAACTCAGCAACAACACCACTCTAGTTAATGATCTGCCACCTTTCCCTCCCTGCCCCCGGAAGCCATCAGATAGTGTTTCTCTTTGTGAGAAAACCTGGTCTTGACGTTTAATAACAGTGATCTCATACAGTATTTGAAAAGGACAAATATCGTAGGATCCCTTTTTTATGAAATATCTAAAATAGGCAAATAAATCGAGACAGAAAGTAGGTTAGAGATTACCAGGTGCTGGAGGAAGAGGGAAATGGGGAGTGGGAAAAAAAAAAAGCAAGAATAAAATCGTATTAACAAAAACTAGTTTTCTTTGTAAGTCTGACATGATTCTTGATAACCTCAGAGTAGGTAAGACGTTCCTCTAAATGATGTTCGGAAACAGCATGGCGAGGAAAACAGAAAGAAAGTAGGGCAGTACTTGTGGAAGTGTGTGTGAGGGTCACATCCCCTGCCTGCCCATGGCCCTGGGGCTCTTCCATAGTGACCTTGGATAAGAGCCCTGTGCTAGCTGAGGTTGGCAGGACTTTTGTTTTATTTTGATTCATCTTTTTACACTCCTGAAATATGTCCCGATTTGTTTCTGCAGTGCACATTTCAGGCTCAGTTGTCTCATTGTGTGAGGTAGAAGGACTATGTCCACTAGTTCAGTATTTTACCTGGGTGCTGACTCCAGTGCCAAGCAGGATCCTCTCCAGTGTTGTTACTTATGGGCTTTCGGGACCTGAGTAAGGGAGCAGCTGATGGTGCAGCTTTTCTTATTCTAAATAATCTCTTTCATTACGGGGCCATGTTTGGCTGCATTCCCACATGGTCTAGTTTAAGTCTTTATTATAAAGTGGCCATCAGGAATCCTGAAGCCGTTGCCATTCTCTGTGTCTAAATAAAGATTTGTTTTATCCTGTTTAATTGTAGGCTTGCTATACCTCGACATCTACTTTCCTTTTTAAGTATTTAAAGTATGTTGTAGCCTGAGTCTTTTGACCGCTCGACTATCTTAAGGCCCCAAATATATCAAATAGTCCCAGTTTTTACTAGGAACGCAACTTGCAAATCAGCATTTCTGTTGACATTTTGGGTCAGATCTCTGTTGCTGGGGGCTGCCCCGCACACTGGAGGCTGTTTGCCAGTAGCACCCCACCAATTGTGGCAACCCACAGTGTCTCCTGATATTGACAGATGCCTTCACCCCAAACCTAAACCTGCTATCAAGTTGATTCTGACTCATCGTGACCTCGTGTAGGGTTTCCAAGGCTGTAAATCTTTACTGGAGCAGAAAGCTTCATCTTTCTCCCAAGGAGTGGCGGTTGGGCTCGAACTGCAGATCTTGTGGTTAGCAGTCCAGTGCTTATCTTACAGTGCCAGCAGAGCTCCTTCCAAATGCCTCCAGGCAGGAAAAATTGCCCCTGGTTGAGAACCACTACTCTAAATAAACCAGTACGCTATAATTAACTGGTGCTGTGGGTTAATGTGTCAGACTACAAAGTCATTTGAATTGCAAGGTTGGTGGTTCAAGCTCACCAGCTGTTCCTTGGAAACCCTATACAGGGTCGCTATGGGTCGGAATCGACTCAACGGCATGTAACAACAACAACAGCAGCAACTCACAAACTTGGTTCACTTTTCTATGCTATAAAGTCAGCTCATACTTTGCTCTTATGTTTTATAACAATGCCAACATCTTATAGGTAGGCAGGTTGGAAATCTAGATATCACTCTTGTCTTTGCTTGCTTTCTCTGCCCTGACCTGATCCCTTAGTTAATTCTTGAACATCTATTG